AGAAAGAAAGAAAGAAAGAAAGAAAGAAAGAAAGAAAGAAAGAAAGAAAGGCAGTAACTCCAAACACAGTAAAATGCTCAACTGAAACAACTCTCTGTAGCCATTTGGTCTTCTCTGTGGTGGCCACAGTTCCCTAATAATGACTCGGAGGCTTACTTATGAATTAATGTTAGGCCTTAAGCTAGGCTTGTTCGCCAACTGACTCATAACTCAATTATCCTGTGTAGACTATTCCTTATCTGCCACATGGCTAGTTAACTCTCCTCAGTTTCATACCTCCGACTTCCTCCAAGTCTTCGGTGAATCTCCTGCCTCTCCCAGAGTTCTAATCTCTCTACCGGAACTCCCACTTTCTGCCTTTTGCTAACAGGCTACACCACCTTTCTATTGACCGATGATGCTTCCACATAATTCACTAGAAATTGTCCCTACAATTCTCTAATACCAAATTTGGAGCCTGGTTTGGGGGTGGGGGGTAGAGGAGCTGGGCCTGTGACATGGCTCAGAGATGCCTGTATATCTATTTTCAAAGATTTTGACCCCTTAAACTGTCTGGACACCATTATACATGTCCACAGACTAGTGTCCTAACTTAACCTAGCATGGCTTCTCCTCCACACAGAAGCTAGAACCGACCAAGAGACACACCCATGAATGAGTCTGTGAGGGCATTTTCAGGAGAGGAAAGTCTTTCTCCAGAGTGGGCTCTGCCTTACAGTAGTGCCTCAGGTATAAAGAGATGAATAAAATCAGCTTTGCCTGCCTGCCTGCCTGCCTGCCTACCCTGCCTACCCTGCCTGCCTGCCTGCCCTGCCTGCCCTGCCCTGCCCTGCCTTGCCTGCCTGCCTGCCTGCCTGCCTGCCTGCCTGTCTACCCTGCCTGCCTGCCCTGCCTGCCTGCCTGCCTGCCTGGCCTGGCCTGCCCTGCCTGCCTGGCCTGGCCTGCCCTGCCTGCCTGCCTACCCTGCCTGCCTGCCTGCCTGCCTGCCTGGCCTGGCCTGCCCTGCCTGCCCTGCCCTGCCTGCCTGCCTGCCTACCCTGCCTGCCTGCCTGCCTGCCCTGCCCTCTTGCTGATGATTGCACATAGCTGTTGCTGCTGCAGCTCTTCTTATCCTTCACTGACATCAGAATCTAGCTCTTTCTTTCAAAAGGGACTAAAGATGAGCGACTGGCCAGGAATCCTTCAAGCCTTTAGCACCCGATGAGGAATACAAAGGCATCTGGTTTCGTGGACTGAGCAGCCATTGGCTCTTGGTCTCCATGGCGGATAGCCACTGTTTGGCTGCCCGCGTAATTGTATTGTATATACGATGCTGGTAAATCCCTTTCCAATTTACATTCTATTGAGTCTGCTCCTCTAGATAAACCTTACTAATACCCCACCTGCTGGATACACAGAATTATAGTTACTTCTGAGCATAATTCAGATAAACATAATGAGATTAAAAAGGGGTGAGGGCCCTGAAGTTTCCACCTCTCCCTCCAAAAAGCTGTGTATTCGTTTAATAGCACAGCGGTTACTAAGGACTGGGAACTGAGTTGGCTCAACAGTTTGCCACACCAGAATTCTGGAGGCTTGACATCTAAGACAAGGTGTCAGCCAGGATCAGTCCCATAGAGTCCAATTTCGACTAAGGTCATAGTCACATGTTCTTGAGACGAGGACTTCAATATGCCCTTGGTTGGGGTGAGGGAACAGTTTAACCCATAAATCATAATACACAGCCAACACGTATCTACTGGCAGGAGCTGAGGGGGCTGTCTGAGGCTGGATCACTACAATGCTTTATGAAGCAAGTTAGAATGTAAGACAAGGTAGCAGGGTTCATGGTCGTATGAGAAATCTTTCAAGATAAGAGACTCAATACCCTGGCGATGAACTCCTTCACATCCGAAGACCTGTAGGATTAATCAGTCAGGTGGGTCACGAGGAGAAGGGGCTGGAGGCTGGTGATAACACATAGTTGCTTCAGAGGGAGAAACCCTGCAAGAACCAAAGGCTTGCTGCACCCTAATTATTTTTAGGGTCTAGTGGTAAGGTGCATTCTGCAGCATCTCAGAAGTAACAGACTTACCACACCTTGCCCTTCCTACCACCAGAAGCAGCAGGAGACATGGCCTGACACAGCCGGTAGTCTGGCCTGACACCTTCTTCCTGGAAACCTCCACTCAGGTGTAGCCAAGATCTTGACATGCTACAGACAAGAATCTTAGGACAGTTGAGTACGGAAGAGATCAATATAGAGGTGCGAGCTTGCTCTTTATGGCTGGGATACCAAACAGGCCATTAGGGACACCTGCTTATCATCTGAGGTCCCCATGGATATCAGG